GTCCTACCAAAAATCACAGCCAAAATGTAAATCAGCTGTTACGCATGCGCTGCCTACAACGGCGGGAAACTGAAAAGAGCAGGCTAGGCACGAACAGGCACGTGCATGATATTACCATCATCAATAAAACCGCACAGCACAGGGGTAGCTACACTTGAGATGAGAACAGGCCAAACATCATGAATGAGAAGCGGGAGTCACTCGGCCACACAGACCAATGACACACAACAGATAGTCTATACACAACGAATAATAAACATAGAATTCCTCCACAACAACTGTAGAATGTACTGCTGTAAAAGCTGGCCAGGTACACAGTTTGATCAGGCCGCTGGTGTGACATTTGACACCTCTGAGTAGCATGCAGTGTAAGGGTTAGCTGATCTGCAAACACAGGTAGATCTACACCTAAACACACTCAGTTGCTGAAGTGAAGACTGAAGGGATCTAGCACCGTATACATGGTATACGGCGTAGTAGATTGTACACTTCCAGAAAATGTGAGAACTGTCATTTTTCTATTCGAAAAGGGCCCTACCCCCCTACCCCCGTTTCGAAATGCGAATGACTGTTGCATTCTTCCAAAACATGACGTCACAGAATTCGTAAAAAAAGACAACTTTTGTCGCAAGCGGCTAGCCTGTCGCCCACGCGCGAGACTCATCATGGCCATATATCATATGGCGGGGGGGGGGGGGGGGCGCGCTGGAGCTGCAGCAAATGCGAGACGCGACACACGAGCGCGACCCAAACTGTGTCACGTGTGTGTCGAATCTGACTGTCATTAGACATTACTACATTAGTGAGGTTTTGCATTCCGAAATTCGGCAAAAAGATTCGGCACGCGGGAGCGAGGTCGAAAATGCACACGAAGATTCGGAGTGTTTGTTCGGAAAAAGATCACTTTGCCGAAAATATTTTTCGGATGCATTTTCTTGTAGAAGAGCGCTAGCGCTAGCCTATAGCGCGTGATTTATTCAAGGAGGTTTCTTATCTCGGCATCGCTTGGCAGGCGTCTTTGGCGACATAGCATCGTCAGCTACCTCTGATTGCTCCTCTCCACTGCCTGTCGACTCTCTTTCGCCTGGAGTGTCTTCACCGTCATCTGTGTGGCTGAAAAGACTATGGCGACACGCATAAAATTTGACTTGGCCATGGAGTTGGTTTTTCTGAGGCGACTGAGGAGGCAGGTTTGGCCCTCGACTCTTTGGGCGATCAAAGTTCGTTGGAATCAGCAAGAAAAGGAGCACGGGACAGGACGTTGCTGATGCTGGGGCTCACGAAATGAAAACACATCATTTTCGACTTGCAAAATAAACGTTGGTGCGAAAATTCGACATTTTGATGTTCGACAAATGACCGAAGAACGCTGTACCGAAATTCGGAATGCAAAACCTCACTAATAATACACTATGATCGGCTTCGATTATTTATTTTTCGATCTACTCGACAATCCGCGATATTCATGTTAAAACAAAATGGCGTCACGATTTATTGAAAGTGGTATAGTTGGTGGAACGAGTGTTCAAACCCATTTGAACTTCATACTGTTCGTCTTCTTTTTGACATGCTCCCTTTCCATCGTCCTTAGCTTTTATTTGTTGAGAGCTGTTTTGGCTTTCTCCTATACCTCTGGGGGATGCCAAGTGATGGTTTTGAGAGGCTGGTGATGGCTGTGAGCGAGAGTTTGCCGATCGGCGTCGTCCTCGCTATAGCGATGAAAATACTAGTTACTGCGCACCTGGCACATATCACAACACGTCGGAGCGTCCAGGAGCAAAGGAATCTTGGGTTTTCACTGGAATCTAGTTCCTCCAGCATCGTGTAGCCCACCGTCGGTGAATGGCGGTCCAGAAAGGTCGAACCTGGTCTTCTGCAGCATCTCGCAGTCCTGCGAGGCACACTGAATACGCCTGTCATGTATTCTACAAATAAAAATCACGAAGTAGTGGACTTTACAGTGATGAGTCTATCCTGTATGCTGCAAAAGACGCAGGAAATGTGACTGGTGTCCGTACACTGGACGCCAATATCATCCCAGTCTTCTCCTGCAGGATCTGTTTGACATTGACATTATGCAGTAGGTCGGCATTGGCCTGGTTTGGCAGCTATCGTTATAGTATCTGCCTGGTTGGATGTAGCAGGTTGGTGTTTGCTCGTCGTCCAGTCCGGAATTTTCTTGTAACTCACGGTGGAGTACGCGCAGGGTTTGTGATCATCCCTGTTCACTTCAATATTATCAAACACAACGTTCCCTTTGTCACTCATCTTATCCTGAGTACTGAATTTGCTGACAATATTGCACCATACTTGTCACAACCTACCGCCACTGCTGGCGGTGGCGACTGGTTCGTCAATGGCGGTGACCAGGCTGACTGACTAGCTTCGAGACAGCGGCCTCGTTGTCAATCCCGCGGCAGCCTAAAGGTTGATTTTATTCATCCAGCCTCAGCGCCATGTTGACGATGCCCTAGTGACTGTGTGTCATGGATTGCCTTGCCATCAGTGGTCATTGCCGTCCACCTTGATGCAGCCCTCAACAACTGGCTCAGCCCATGGGAGTCTCAAGTGGACAAAATTGTTGCCAAAGTAGCTCAGAAGATTGGTGCATCGTGGTGTAGGTGAGCACATAACTAGGACTTCCCAGCGTCTATTTGTCCAGGCTGCGATACTATGTGACATGCTGTACTGCACATTCTTTTCAGCACTGCAAGGCCGGCAGCTGGACCGACTGCAGGGGCCGCGCACATGCAGGCCGCCTGTTGCCAGTGCAGCATTCTGGAACGTTCCTTCCTTCTGAGATCCGTGGAATAATAACTTTCTTTGCTTCAAAGCAAGTTGCTTACCTTTCTGTTGTGCCCCCAGTGTCCTTACAACAATAACCTACAGCAATGTTTTATTTTCCTTTCCATTCCCCAACCAATGAATACTACGATGTCGATTCTATTTCTTCATACTTTGGTGTGTGCCCGCGCACGCACATGTGTGTGTATACCTCACTCGCCACTCGAAGTTCTGTTCCCCATCACTGGAACACTGCCTGTTCTTTCAGGACCTGCCATCATCTGCGGATGGGCATTCAATAATTGTATTGTGTGTGTGTTTCATTCAGAATCAGATCCGCTATCATTGCTATTAGAGAAAATCTGTGGGTTCACATCCAGTGCATTTTTAGATCTGCGTGCTTTTCTCGCCACGGGCGCATACATGGGACATTGTGTGTGTGTGCGTCTGTGTGTATGGGGATATTGTCTGTATCGGCTTTTGGTACTAATGTTCAGGTCTGTGCTTGCATGTGTGAACATGAAATTGTTCGGTTCTGTGCATACTATTGCTATGTTGTATATTATTGTATGTATGTGTGCATTTCCACGAACAGTGTAGACGAGCGTGGAGAGTGCATTCATCCCTCAACCACTTCCCCTTGGGCTTACGAGAGTTTTTTCTGCGTACCTCTCTGATACTGTATTGATGCCGGCACCTGTACCTCGATGTGTTCCTCTATCTGCAGTCGCCTTTAACCTTCGGTCAAGTTAACGTTTATTGTGCTCTATTTATCGTGCGAATCAAAATAAACAATAATAACACAAGTCGTGCTAGAGTGACGACATGTGCGTGTAGTAGGGTTGATGCGATGGGACGTTATAATTAGGTGGAACAGAACACACATTGGGCAGATTGATTGGGCATCATTGATTGTGCTCAGTCTAAACAGTGAACATAATAATTATCTCCAGTGACAGACTGTAGCGGCTAGCCTCCAATAGTTAGCTGGCACTAGTCACTACTGCTTGTTTGACAGGTGCCGCCAGAACCCCTGTTGTACCATGCTATAGATGCACATGCCCTGTTCTGGGGCATACTGAGGTACTTTGATTTTGTTGACTGCATGTAGACAGCATCCAATAGTAGTACTCGTAGACCTTGGCTCTTTGTAGGTCAACCACCATCGCATGGATCGATCGGTGACTATGCACTTGGAGGTTGGAATAGCCCGCGCTGAACAGATCTTGCCATGGCCCAGGGAGTGAACTCGCTTACTCGACTATCCCGGTTTTAGTTAACCAGCATGAGTGGTGCAATTTGTCCATACCATGTTGCGAGCTCACAGTTGTTTGGGCAGGTTTTGAGCTGCACCACGAAACAAAGCGAAATAACGGCGTGACTGTAGAGCAAGGAAGCGGCGAGACGGCACTTCCAGGACGAGACAGGCAGTAGAGATGTGTTCACAGCACGAGCAACCTCTCAGACCCTGCCGGTACTCCACAGTTACAAGAAAATGTCGGACTGGACGACGCGCCAATGCAAACCTGCTACATCCACCCAGGCAGATAGCTGCCAAACCAGGCCAATGTCGACCCACTGCATACCGGTATGTCAATGTCAAACATATCCTGCAGGAGAAGACTGGGATGATATTGGCGTCCAGTGTACGGACACCAGTCACATTTCCTGCGTCTTTTGCAGCATACAGGATAGACTCATCACTGTAAAGTCCACTACTTCGTGATTTTTATTTGTAGAATACATGACAGGCGTATTCAGTGTGCCTCGCAGGACTGCGAGATGCTGCAGAAGACCAGTTTCGACCTTTCTGGACCGCCATTCACCGACGGTGGGCTACACGATGCTGGAGGAACTAGATTCCAGTGAAAACCCAAGATTCCTTTGCTCCTGGACGCTCCGACGTGTTGTGATATGTGCCAGGTGCGCAGTAACTAGTATTTTCATCGCTATAGCGAGGACGACGCCGATCGGCAAACTCTCCCTCACAGCCATCACCAGCCTCTCAAAACCATCACTTGGCATCCCCCAGAGGTATAGGAGAAAGCCAAAACAGCTCTCAACAAACAAAAGCTAAGGACGATGGAAAGGGAGCATGTCAAAAAGAAGACGAACAGTATGAAGTTCAAATGGGTTTGAACACTCGTTCCACCAACTATACCACTTTCAATAAATCGTGACGCCATTTTGTTTTAACACGCATACGGTCCATTCCAAAAATCAGTGCCATTGGCTTTAGCTTTGCCCTTGAACTTGAAATCTCGTGCCTTATTCTTTCCTGGGGACTGGTGTTGGATATTGAACGGGCGGAGTTACCGCCGGGATGATGGATGAAGGAGATGATGGCCTAAACTTGGCTGCGCGCTTTCTCATTTTCGCGTGGCCTGCCACTAGTGCACTAGTGTTGCGCAGATTCACAAAGGGTGTCACAGGCATAGCTGGAGGAAGAAAGGTGAGAGAATCGGTTGCACAGTGCAGATCAACCCAACCATTTGGTTGTTTTAATTTTACTTCGCACAGTCAAACGGGATGACCACCCAATAAAATTTCCGAACGTGACATTTTTTTAATTTATTGATTTTCCTGCATTATACCACAGTTTGTTGAAAGCTCCATACTGACCAGGCCGCGTGTGTGTCAACATCAGTTCACGGCTTGTTCGACTTTGTCCGTTAGGCCGTGTTTGCATAGATATTGTGATGGCGTCAAAGACAGTTAAAGATTGTGTTGGTCGTGTGTCGGGGGTATTGTCCCCGCCGAAACTGAATGCAAGTTTAAGAAAGACTAGGTCTAGTGAGTTATGATCAGAAGTGTCCTGTGGGTCTAGCCCTCAGCCCCTCTGCAGATCTGCGGCAAGCAGTAAACTACATTTACACCAAAAAAGCGCAAAACAAGACTTGATTTTTTACGCGGCTCTTTTCACCATGATAATTATTGGACACGTGTTTTGAAAATTTGAAATACTGATGGCAACTGGTGAGTGAATCATTCAAAAATGCAAACGTGCCCGCTGTTGAGTGCAGCCATGTGAATCCACACAGTTACTTTTCTCGTAAATCACTCGCCGTAAAACGTGCAAGTGGCTGTCGTGTGAATCGCCTATAACCGACTGTCCGCAGTTGTCGAAGTATTTTCCAGCACTCACTGTACTTTATTAGAGAGGTTCCGCGTAACGTAATTACGTTAGTCAAAAAATGTAGTCGATCTACGGAAAGTCTTACGGAAACTGCATGCGCATCTGGGTTCCGCCATACGGAGTTTTCAAATCATAGCAGACTCAGCGGAGGACGTTCAGGTTGGTTGTAACTCTTGAGTTTCATGCCGTTAGGCAATCATCAGACAACTGATACTCGGGTCTACCTAACAGTGAGTCAGTATGCTTCTAAATACATAGGGCCACAAGCATAAACAAATTTAGCGCTAAATCTGGTGTGAGGTATGGGGAGAACGGCTGGCGCGGGCCACTGCGCGACAGTAGAAGTGCCAGGACGGCGGCAGGCAACAGGCAGGTGTGAGCATGAAAGCGCGGAAAGAGGCGTAGGGGAGGCAGTGTACAGCAGATGGGTGGAGGTACCAGGAGGATGGCGGGCAATGGGCCAGTGAGATCGCTAGGGGGTCTTTGGGTGATGGGCAGGCGTGGGCGTACTATCGACATCATGGATGTGTCCTCACAACAAGGCTCCACCATGAGCATGGCAAACTTTACAAAGTAAGCCTTTCAGTGCAAGTCTTGGTGGCATGGTGTCTTTTGGGTGTTTTCTTAGGTTCCAAGAGACGTGGAGCTACATTGTGTGTGTGTGTTTGTGTGTGTGTGTACGCGTGCGTGTGTGTGTGTGTGTGTGTACGCGTGCGTGTGTGCGTGTGTTTGGCACACGCCATGTACTCTCTTGTGCAGGTACTACACGAATGCGAAACGTGACAAACTCTACAACGTCATTAGCCTGGAGTTCACCAAGACTAAGTTGGAGCCTCTAGTGGAGTCACCCAGTCTGGTACGTCAGCAATCCTACATACACTTGAGAGGATCAAAAGCGTTTCTGCTGTAACTCTGAGTTTCACGGTTTTAACCGATCATCAGACAGCAACTTGGACTACAATTTTCAGAAGATATGATTGATATAGGCTGCAATCAATCAATCCTATGCATGTAACGTTACATGTAGTACACTCTTATCTGTTGTATCCGGGCGGTCCGGGACCGGGGGCTCTGCCCTTCATTTGGAAATGTTCGTAATCACGTACATCTTGATGTGGAAGGCACGTAGATCTGGCATATTACGTCACTCCTGGTGTTTCCACCAATTAGTAGAAAAGTAGTAATATATCCACTAGAACTCACTCACAGGGTTCCCTGTAGACCAAGATGCCCGTAACTTGGAGGTCCAGATAGGAGCCGTGAGAAAGGAGTGCACTGTAGTTGAGCACTCCACTGCACTACTGTCTCCCCTGTATGCCGTGTTGGGGGTTTGGTGGGCGTTTGAGGCTCATGTCATACATGATCATGCTTAGAGGCTCGTTTTGAGAAAGTATGGATTTTTAACTCCTGATTGGTTTGTGCAATGTGTTTATATTGGTTTATCAATGCCCCATCACAAGCTGTATAGTATGTATTCGCAATCGTGTACGAATTGCTCATTTGTCTCTTCTTCTTACTACTGCTTGCTTGCTGCGGCTGCTGTTGCTGTTGTTGTTGTTGTTGTTGTTGTTGTTGTACGCAGATACGTCATTTGGATTGGGTGGACTTGGTGTGGCCGGAAACATTGCGCGCTTTGCAGCAGGAGGCCACCAACCGACTGGTCGACATGAAATATCCCAAAGTGCAAATGTATGTATTTTGTTTGTTCCTGTTGATGGTGCTGCTGCTGCTGCTGCTGCTGCTGCTGCTGCTGCTGCTGCCGCCGGTGTTGCTGTTACTGGCCGACTGCTGGTGCTGTTGATAGTACTACAGGTGTAGCTGCCCTATTGCTGGTGCTTGTGGTGCTGCTGCTGTTGTTGGCTTACTGATTGTGCTGCTGTTGCTGTTGCTGGCTGCCCTACTGCTGGTGGTTGTGCTGGCGCTGCTGTTGCTGGTCTACTGTTGTTGTTGGCTTACTGATTGTGTGGCTGTTGCTGTTGCTGGTCTACTGCTGTTACTTGTGCTGTTGCTGTTGCTGGCTTACTGATGGAGCTGCTGTTGTTGTTGCTGGTCTACTGCTGTTGCTTGTGGTGATGCCGTGCTGTCACAGGTACTGCCTGATGAGCGTCGGAGGCTGCTACACAGATTTCCGTATCGACTTTGGTGGCACATCCGTCTGGTATCACATTCTCAAGGGTGGAAAGGTCAGCATTCCCTGTCTGTTTGTCTGCACGCCTGTCTGTTTTTGTGTCACACACATGCACACAGTATATAGATGGACGATGGGTGTAGATACAGACATACATCTGTCTGTCTGTCTGTATGTCTGTATGTCTGTTTATCTGTCTGTCTGTTTATCTGTCTGTCTGTCTGTCTGTCTGTTTATCTGTCTGTCTGTCTGTCTGTTTCTCTACCCATCATCCATCCGCACTTGTATGTATATTTACCTCTCTGTCCATCCTTCTGACTGACAAGCTCCTTATAATCACGAATGTGTCTTGTAGCAGAACCTGAAAAGGAAGTGGAATGAGAAGAAGAAAGCTGGCGTTGGCTTAAGTGTACAGCATTTCACTGATTAGAAGTCGCACTTGGTCAGGGGCGTAGGAAGCAGTTTAATACAGTCGTCCCTCTCTAATCCGGCACCTTTTGCTACGGCGTTTTCTGCTGGATTAACGAGGGTGCTGGATTAAGAAATCCTGCCCTCTGACCCGGCCCTACCCAATTGCATGTATGTATCATATGTACGTCAAAACGCAGGGGTTTTTCGTGTCGACCCAAGTATTTGGTGCACGGCTTTATTCTCAATTGTTCTCCGGGAATATACACAGTGATTAAGTGATAAAGTAAAACAGAGAACATGTTCACATGTACTCTTGCACACACACGCACACACACACACACACACACACACCTGAAAATTGGCAGGACACTACTCCTTGCTAAAGTAAGAAAGTATGGTTGACTGCCGTTGTCTCCTGGACAACATTGACCAGACTGGCCTAGCCTGGCCTGGCAAGGAGTGCACCTGTACGGTACGCGATTTACGACTGCCGGATTATGAAATCAAACTACGTGCAGTTTGAGCGATTCGTTTCAAAAAGTCACTGCCGGAGGCGGAATTCAAGTGCCGGATTAAGATGTAGGAATTGAACGAAAAAAATCGGTTTCGTCAGAAAGTGCGCCGGTTGGCAAGGGTTCCGGATAAACAAGTGCCGGATTAGAGAGGGACGATTGTATTGGTCCGACAAAATTGTGAGAGGGGGGTCCGGATTTTTTTTTCAAAATTCGGCCTAAAAGGCCATATTTTGATGCTACAGAATAATTATGAGAAATAAGAATATGGATGCTGATGATACACCGCATTGTCGGTGTAAAACATGGTACCTGTACAAGAGTTGACAACCCATCAACAAGGTTGAAATGTAGAAAAAAAGAAAATTATTGGTCCGGCGACCGCCGGGCCTGCCGGACCGGTTCCTACGCCCATGTTGATGATAAGTCGCGACAGGTCTGAGCCAAGTTGTTTCAATACGGTACATTCACATATTACGTAGGAAGAAGTCACGCTCGATTGTAAGTCACACCACCTTCAATACCTGTTCATTGGTTGAGGGAAAGATGCAAACGGGAAAACGTCTGAAGAAAAAATTGACTGGCGCCACCAGGACTCGAGCCAGGGGCCTTCACTTGAGGTCAGCGGTGCTCTAACCCTTCTTTGCCGTTGACGTTCAGTGTCAAAAGGTGTGACTAACTCTACTGTTTACAATGCGGCCGTGTGTGTGTGTGTGTGTGTGTGTGTGTGTGTGCGTGTGTGCGCGCGCGTGTGTGTGTGTGGGGGGGGGGGCGTGTGTTTGTTGTGCACTGCAGGTTTTCTGGCTGATTCCTCCGACCCCAATCAATCTTCAGCTCCATGAGCAGTGGGTGTTGTCCGGTAAACAGCAGGATATCTTCCTGGGTGACATAGTCGAGACGTGTGCCCGCGTCGAATTGAAACCAGGCTGGACTTTTGTCATTCCTACTGGTGAGTGAGTTTGAGTAAGTGTGTGTATGTATGTGCCAGCTAGTTCGGTTGGTGGGTGCACTTATGCCTGATTGTGTTGGGTCTGTTGCCAACGGGCTCGGCTGCTTGAAGGTGTAATGTGTGTGTGTGTGTGTGTGTGTGTGTGTGTGTGTGTGTGTGTGTGCTTGCCGTGTGTGCGTGTGGGTGCTCGTGTGCGCGCTCGTGTGTGTATGTGTGTGTATGTGTACTCGTGTGTGTGTGCTCGTGTGTGTGGTGTGTGTGGTGTGTGTGTGTGTGAGAGTGTGTGTGTATGTCTGTTCGTTGTCAGGCTGGATTCATGCAGTTCACACTCCTGTGG